GGAGGGGAGAGAGAGAGAGAGAGAGAGAGAGAGAGAGAGAGAGAGAGAGAGAGAGAGAGAGAGAGAGAGAGAGAGAGAGAGAGAGAGAGAGAAAGGCTGACACGTGGCACTTCGCGCAAGAGTACCGTATCGACGACGACGGACAGCGGCGGCAGCAGTGACGACGGGCACCTCGGCGATGGCGGGCAGCGACGGGCATTGACGGCGGGAGCACGACCTCGGCGAAGGCGGGCAGCGACGGGCGTCGACGGGGCGGGCAGCAACGGGCGTCGACGGCGGTGCAATCAAACTCGACTTGGTCACTCTCTTCATGCACGTGAACAGCAACACACAACAGGCAACATGCGCCCACACCGTACACAGAGATATGTCTCCCAGGTAAGTTCGCTTCCACTGGCTATGGCGACTAAGCGCCCAGACAACTCACTGTTCACACTTTGGATCACCCTGGATGTCCCACACGCAACACACAACACACACACACGCACACGCTACTACAGCTATGGAAGCACTAGCTGCCACTACCCTATCGCTACACTACACTTCTCTGCCCACTTCGTCTTCCGGCACACTGCAGACCTCCTCGCACAAGCTGCTGAGGCAGCGCTTCCGCATGGCATCCGCAGGAATGAATGAATGGCTGGACGCAGCCTCTTGATTTATACTTCTGCGCTGTATTGGTCTGCCCCGTATCCCTTGGCCCGCGAGGTGCACAGTCCCAGATGGTACTTGCTTGACTGGACCGGACTGGACTAACTGGGACTGCTGACCGGACTAGGTGGACTACCACCACTTGACCACATGCCTCTGCTGAGTGCAGGCTAATTCCCAAAGGCCACTTCTAGAAGTCTCTAACTTGGCCTTTCGGTACTGTAGCAGCTACGACTTTGCCCTTTCAGGTACGTAGCGGCTACGACCTTGACTCTTCAAACAACCTACAGCTACGACCTCTGAGCTGTTTAGACTCCTACCCTACAAGTCTACAGTTCGAATCCCTCCTACCCTGTGTCCTACGAAAGTCTACCTACCACTGGCGATCCTACAGGTCGCAGGTTCAAAGCTACGGGTTGACATCAATATTGTACACAGGTAAGACGGGGAACTAGGGATCGAGCCCTGGGATCTGCATTCGCTACTGCGAACTGCTGAATACCGTTTCACTCCCGTCGGCCTAAATTCGAGGTCCTCCGAGAAAATTTCAGTCCAAGGCAGGACCTTTACCCTTCTGCTGTCTCTCGTAGGCCCGGACAATATCGGGAGCTCTCTAGAAGTTCGGATCGTGTAAACCAGCAGTTGTCTTCCGGTTCCTGATAACTAAAATGAACCTTATACTGTTTCTGCGGACGACCCCTACCTCCAGTTCGGAAGACATCTTCAGCCACTATACCATCTATGTCATATCTTCCATCCATATCAGGTGGGATCATCGATCTACGGGATGGAAACTGATCACTTGTTTGACAAGGTAATAACTTTGATGCGTGGAAAACTGGATACGTGTGGAGGTGTGCTGGTAGTTCTATTGTATAGGACGGTCCATCTTCGCCGCCCTTGACTTCCAGAACAGGCCACGGTCCTCGATATGTGGGCAGTAACTTCTGCGAGATGTTCTCCTCAGGCGCAAACTCTTTAGAAATAACCCAGACTAAGTCGCCTACTTGAAACTGTGAAGGGCGACGATGTTTGTTCGCTTGCTCTATCATTCTATGCTGGGCTTTCCTGAGGTTCTCTACAACAGTAGCTAGTTCTTTCTCGT